AATGAGGATAACACACACTCAGCACCACGGCAAATATGTAGAGTGGTGCTAAGTGATGACTAAAGGGACATGATAACCATCTACAAATATTTGAAGGATGTAAACACTAAGGAAGAAGATGAATTAATTATTTAGAAGAAGAATGAGGAAGCCCAGGAGGAGCTCATTACCAGTCCCAAAGCCACCTCATCCCTCAACAACCCTTTTGGAATGAAGCTATCCCAAGACTGAAAGCAGGCAGCTGGATGGCCCCCTGCACACAACAACCTCAACACAAGGCATGGTTGTGAATGGTATTTTTTTCTCTCTTTTAAAAAAAAATCTTTCTTTTTTAATTATCTGGTTGTACTGGGTCTTAGTTGTTGCATGAAAACTCTTAGTTGCAGCATGTGGGATCTAGTTCCCTGACCAGGGATAGAATCCAGGCCCCTTGCATTGGAAGGGAGGAGCCTTAGCCATTGGACCACAAGGAAAGTCCCTAAGAATGGTATTTTTATCATGCTTGCAGGTACCCATGTGCCTATTTGGATAATAATCATCATAGCTGGCATTTGCTGACTACCTGGTATTATGGATTCAATTGTGTCATCCCAAAATATATGTGAAAGTTTTGACCTTTTGTACTTATGAATATGACCTTATTTGGAAATAGGGTCTTCGCAGTTGTAATCAAGTTAGAGATGATGTCATTAGGGTGAGCCCTTACTCCAATGAGATGGCAACTCACTGCAATATTCTTGCCTGGAAAATCCCATGGTCAGAGGAGCCTAGCGGGCTGCAGACCACTGGGTTACAAAGAGTCAAGACACGACTGAGTGACTGAGCACACACATTACTCCAACATGACTGGTGCCGTATAATAAGACGGAAATTTGGACACACACAGATACAAGGGAGAATGTCATGTGACAAAAAAGGTAGAGATGCAGCTGCAAGCCAAGGAATGCCAAGGATTGGTGGCCACCACTAGAGGCTAGGTAGTACAGTCGAGGGAGGTTTTAGAGGGAGCACTGCCTGCCAACTCCTTGGACTTCTTATTTTTTTAAAAAACCATTCACTTTTATGAATAAACACATTAAGCTCACATGTAGTCTAAGTAAAGCTTTTCACAATCCATCGTATGATCCTCAATCAAAATTCAGATTAAAAGAATTCAGAAACATTCTTTTTCTTCTGTTATAGTGATTTGAGAATTGTGATTTCTATGGTTTACATATTTAGTAAACAAAGATGTACATTATTTTTAGACAATAAATTTCTCTTTTGAGCCACCCAGTTTGTGGTACTTTCTTATGGGGCCCTAGCGAACTAATACACCTGGTATATGCCAAAAAGTGTGCAGAACACTTTACAGGTGAAGGTGAATGCAACCTTGGGGGAAGGACTGGGAGATGAGGAGACTTCCTTTGGGCAGGGCTAAGGACTCAGAGGTCCTTAGGAAAGGTCTCCTGGACCCAGCATGTACCGCTACTGACCCAAAACCTTAGCTCAGTGAGTACCTTGGGATAAATGATTGTCTTCAAGGCTAGAGCAAGATCCCCAGGAATCCCTAATCACCAGACAGACTATGGTGTCCTTAGTGAAAGTGTTAGACACTCAATCATGTCTGACTCTTTGCAATCCCATGGACTGTAATCCACCAGGCTCCTCTGGCTATGGAATTCTCCAGGCAAGAAAACTGGATTGGGCTGCCATTCCCTTCTCCAGGGATCTTTCCGATCCAGGGATTGAATCCAAGTTCCCTGCATTGCAAGTGGACTCTTCACCATCTCAGCCACCAGGGACACCCAAGGAGGTAACTTAAAGAACACGATTTAGTTTTCAAAGTGGTACCTGCTTTACACGTATGCTGTTATTAAGAGATTGCAGGGGTTTATGTATGTGTGGATCATCCAGCCCTGGGTCTGGGTGGGTTTATCCTGAAAGAGTTGTGTAAGTTGGGAGTTCCTCACTCATCCTCTCAAAAAAGGGGAGGATGGGGTTGCTGGCCTCAGGGGATCCCACCTGAATTCCGACTCTGGTAGGCTCTTTGAATACAACCTAGCAAACTGGGTCCATCAGGAAGAGGGTGCCCTGCAAAGGCTGGGGTAGAATTGCCTTTCTCACCATTCTGGGCATATGACACTCACACTGGGGAATTTGGACCTTCATTTTCATAACTTATGATGTAATCAAGAATATTCTAGATTCCTACACATTACCTCCTTTGATCTTCAAAACAATCCTATGAGACAGGCACTATTATTACTGTCATTGCCCAAATGAGGAAACTGAGGCACAGAGAAGTTGAATAACTTTCCTAAGATCATCCAGCCAGACCTGAAGATCATAAGCATTATGAAAGCACTAAATGGATGCTGGGCCAGTGAAGAGTCACCATGCCATGATGGAGACCCCGCTGTTCTCCTCATTCATGGGACCCACTTTACAAGAGGCTCAGCTGCCATTATGAGGCTGTGGTACAGTGGGTTACATTTATGGGCTTTGGTGTGTGCATTTTAAGACTTTATTCATATCAGAATGAAGGTCCCAAGTTGCTGATGGGTTGAATGTTTGCAGTACTTCTTATAGCTAACCTTCTCTAGAGGGGCCCCACCCTTGAAGTTTCTTTCCCTTCCAGCATTTTCCTCCCACCCTGTCCTTCCCTCCCCATCTCTCCAGGAGTGAGTGAAAGGGCCCAGTTCCTTAATGTGCCACCAGAGGGAGCTGGCCTGCGGAGAAACAGGAGAATCTTCAGGCCCAAACCTGGAGACACCCCCTGGAGTTGGGCTATTCTTTACCTTGGTTAATTTTCACTTTCAGTTTTGGAATGTCACCCAAACTCAAAGCTCCTATTCAGGAACAAATGCAGTTATTTCAGGGGAACTTATTTGTGGCAGGGGAACTCTGGTTAATGCTATAGGCCCCTTTTCACATTAGTGACAGAGTGGAAACAGAAGTAACAAAATGACGATAAAGAATACAAAGTTTCAGTTAACTAACAACATATATAAATTCTAGAGATCTGCTATACAGAATCATATCTGTAGTTAACAACACTGTAGTGTACGCTGAAGTGTGCTAAGTTTACCACATCTCCACACACAAAAGATAGTAATAATAAAGGAGATAGAAGGAAACACCCAGAGGTGATGTATATAATTATGGCCTTGATGGTGGTGATGATTTCACGGGTATAAATTCATCCCTAAACTCATCAACTTTTGTATACATCAAATATGTACAGCTTCTTGTATGTAAATCATACTTCAGTAAAGTGAAATATCTACCTATATATCTATAGCTCACACACAAACATACCCAAAGGACTTTCCCATTCAGAAAAAAAAAAATTGTCTGGTAGTTTGAAAGAGGCCGACTCTCTGGGTGCCCACAGCACTCAGAAAGGCAAGCCAGAGGGCTGGTTACAAGCAAGAGCTTTGAGCCAGGTGGACCCAGGATGGAGTCTGGACCCTGAAACTCCCTACCTTGCTGGACCTGGGTAGACTACCCTCTCTGAGCCTTGGGGCCTTCCTTCTCCTGTCTGTAATATGGCAATGGGAACCAGGCCTACGCTGCAGGATTGAGGGAGATAGCCCGTGGAAAGCCCCCAGAAGCCTCTTTCAGCTTTGAGATGGTTCCAGGCCAGCCCTTGTATGTGGGGGTTGGAGGAGAAGGGTAGAAGGCTCCTCCACGTGCCGCTCTAAAGCATCCCCTGGCCCTTCTCTGACCCGCCTCCCTCACGCCTTTGCACCCACCCAGGAGGCTCCCCAACCTCAGCTTTCCCCCGGAAGCTGGACCTCCTCTTTCTTTGGAACCCCAAGAGAAAGGGGGCGCAAAATCTTTTCAAACCCCCAGACGCAGAGGCCGCCGGTGTCCGCACTGCGGCCGGCTGACGTTTGACTCTGCCAGGTACATTCAGCGAACATTAACTCAGCCCTTCGCCGAGGTAGGGCCTGCGCGCCCGGCGGGGAGGCCTGCTGTCCACGCGCCCGCCGGCCTGTGACCTCGCGGCGCCGCCTCCGCAGGTAAAGGGCCCGAGCCGCCGCCGGAGCCAAGGGGGCACCCGGAGCAGCTCCAGGGCAGACGGTCTCAGTCCATTTATTTTCCTTATGAAGAAACGGGGGAACGAAGGGATGTGTGTGCTCTCGCCTCCCGCAGGAACTCCTGTGTGTGCGTGCGCGGGCGCACGCGTGTCGCTTCCCGCAGGAACCGGGGTGCGCGTGTGGCGGTGTTATATCCGCAGGGTGGGGCACTCCTGGCCTTGCCCTCTGGGGAGAGAATTTGGACGCCAGATTACAGATGATGAGGAAGGGATGTTAGTGATTTAGGGCGGGGAGACTAGCCTTGTGGGGACTGATAGCTTCTTTGTCTTTTTTTTTGCCCGCACTGTGGGGCATGTGGGATCTTCGTTCCCCGACCCAGGATCAAGCCTGTACCTCCTGCATTGGGAGCGGGGAGTCCTAACCACTGGACCGCCAGGAAAGTCCCTCTTTATCCTTTTTGTTTGTTTAAAGAAATAGGAATATTTTGAGAGGGTGTTGCTCAAGGGCCAAGTAGGTAGATAAGGTGTGCTCCTGTGGGACCCTGCTCAGCTCTGGCCTGCATTGCTGCAGAAGGCCGATCCTGTGTGGCTTGTGCTTTTGATTTTTCAGGAGAATCAGAAATCTGAGGTGTATGTGAAATCTCTTGATTTTAAAATTCTAGCAACTATTTTATTTTATTTATGTATTTGGCTTCAATGCATGTGGGATTCTAGCTCCCCCACCAGGGATCCAGCCCTCATCTCCTGCACCGGAAGGTGGTCTTAACCACTGGACTGCCAGAAAGTGAAAGTGTCTCAGTCCTGTTTGACTCTTCCCACCCCATGGACTATACAGTCCATAGAGTTCTCCAGGCCAGAATACTGGAGTGGATAGCTGTTCCCTTCTCCAGGGGATCTTCCCAACCCAAGTATCAAACCCAGGGCTCCCACATTGCAGGCAGATTCTTTACCAGCTGACCACCAGAGAAGCCCAGGACTGCCAGGGAAGTCCCTAATCCATTTTTTAGAAGTCTAATCTGACTGTATTTGCTGATGGGATCCAATGCCTATACTGGGGTGTAGAGAGGTGGAAAGACATGGTTTATAGGAGCCAGTGGGCACACTGGAGCTTTATAATAAAGTCCACCAGAGAAGTAAAAAGTACTGAGGATTGCAGGTGAACAACATCACTGAATCTTAAGAGGCCCAGCTTTTTAAATTTTTTAAAAGAGCTTTGTGCATGGAGATCTGTGTTAGCTCTGCAGCCTTCCTCTCCTCATCTCACAATCTGGTCCATCTCAGAAAGCCAGGCTGCAGTCCCAGGGCCAGGCTCATCTCACTCTCCCCCAGATTCCTACTATAATCAGCAGACCAGCTTGGGTGCTTGCAAGAAACCAGGGCTTCACGTTGGCATTTGCCTTCCCTGTGGCTGGCAGATGGACTTCCTGTGATCCGAGTCTGTTTTGTGGACAAATCTGATTCTGAAATAGGTGAGATATGGTTGTGGAGGGGGGCACCCTCCCACCCCATTGAGGTCTGTCCCAAAAGAGGGCTGCCTCCTCCTTCTTCACCCACTTCTCTGCCACTCACTGACTAAGGCAGCTGGAGTGAGAGAAGAAAAAACGGGACTGGCTTCCTTCCTCAATCAGGCAACCCTGGAGAAGTTGGGAGGCTGAGCTTTTTAGCAGGGACTCAGGAGATGGTGCTGCAGACTTTTCTTCCACAAGAATCTATTGATGCTCCAGCTTCTGCAATGATTCTTACAAGGAAATTAAACCAGCGGCCTCTTGGATGGAGGCAGCCACCATGCCAGTGGTCTACTCATGGTGTGGATCCATTGAACCCAGCAGGAGCTGGGCCACTTCTCCCCTCCACACACCATGGCACCTGCTGGCCCACTAGTCATACAGAGCTCTGGACTTGCACCTTGTGCTGACTCTACTGGGCTAAGTGGAGGTTAAAAGTGGTGTTTGCACAATGATGCCTCATTAGTCCCTGTGGGTTTTGACTTAAAGTCATTCAGAGCAAGTTGGAAGCTGGTTTTGGTTGTTTTTTTTTTTTTTTTTTTTTAATAGACCATACAGGGTGAAGTGGATATGTATCTCCAGCCTCTTTTACATGCCTTTTCTTGCTGTGCAGAAACTGTTTGGAGAATACAGATCTGTAATTCTGCAGAAAACCTGGCATATGAGCAGAATGTGCTGGCCTGGAAACCAGCCTTGCAGATCAAGCGTGGCAAGGCTCAGGGTCTTCATGCCTCTGGGAATGCAAGGGGCCTTCCCAGGACCTGAGCTTCTTCTCCCTTTTTTCTGCAAAACTGACAGATAAAAAGCTAGATGTAAACCAGAGCTAAACTAGAAGGTGATTAGGTATTTTATAGGATGATTTTTAGCTTTTTAAAAGGTTTTATCATGAGATTAGTTCCTTTGGTTATCTTAATAGGTATCTGAAATTAAACATTTTGTTTGCATAGCTCTACAAGCCCATGGCTATTGGGTAAATCAGGTTACTTCCTCCCTCCTCCCATTTCTAAGTGCAATTCCTTAGCTGTTATAATGCTATAATGTCATCTTGACATTTGTGCCTGGAAAATTTTTGACTTCTGGAAGGGTGGAAGAGGGCTGTCTTGCAGGTAGGAGAGGGTTGGGGCATGTGCTATGCCTGCACGTGGTCACCTCTGGTGAACAGAAGGGCCTGGAAGCCAGGAGGCATTTTAGCAGATCCAGGACGCCTGGGAGCCAGAGCAAGGACAAGCACACCTGAATTTCCCTCTAGTCCCTTGGGGAGCCTTGCAGGGCTTCCCCCTCCACTGCCTCTCACACTCCTGGTAAATGGACACATCTGGAGCACGCCTCTTGCATTCTGAATTCAAGGACTGAGTAGCAGATATCAGACATCTTAAGTCATTCTGGCATAGAGTCTTGCTGTTCAAAAATGAGGGCAGAATTTCAGCTGGGGGCTTGTAAATACAGAATCTCACCCTACCTATATGGATAGTATTTAACAAGGTCTTCAGTGACTCCTATGTGCTTGTGGAGAATCACTGATATCAAGAGTATCAAAAGGAGGAACTTCCCTGATGGTCCAGTAGTCAAGAGTCTGAGCTCCCAATGCAGGGGGCTACAGGTTCACTCCCTGGTTAGGGATCTAAGATCCCCCTTGCCACATAGTGTGGGCAAAAAATAAAAAGAATATTAAAAAGAAAAGAGGGTAAATTTTCAAGGCCTGGAGAAGAGGCTCCCACTTACCTCCCCTGGGACTACAAAGAAGTTCTGACTGGTGTAGATCCACAAATTTGTTCTAAAGTCTCAGAGTTCTCTCTCAGAATTGGGAGGATAATTTTACATTAGGGTAATTCTGGATTTTCGTTGGGTTTAAAAACAACTCATATTTCCAAAAGATATTGAATAATAGGTCCTGCTTCAAACTTCCATGATCAGATTCCTTGTAAATGTCTGTGTCTCACAGCCTTCATTGAAAAGGGAAGTGTTGGTGAGAGAGGAAGGTGCCCACCCAAGCCTTGGGTCCAGCCAAGGCTGGAAGAAGAAGAACCGCTCGTTGCTGTTTTGATTTTACTTCCTGTCCTGCCAGGAGGCCCATCAGTGCCAAGGTTCTCCATTCCCACCAACCCAGGGGTAGTTAGTGCCTGCCCTACCTCCATCCTTGCCCCGGCCTTTTTTTTCCTGCTAGTGTGGCAAACAGTTTCCTGACCCCAGAGAATTTTTCTAAAGGTCATTGTTCCAAAGTCTGTCCATCCATCTGTCATCTATTCACCCATATGGAATTCTTTGATTTCTTTTATTCTCTGGCTGTTTCATCTCACCATATCATCCTGCCCCTGCCTTTAATACCCTATGAGTAAAACTGGATTGACTCTGAGTGGTTGCTTGTTGAAGCCATTGGTATATGTTAGGAAGAGAATGTTCATTTAGAACCATCATATCTGAGAGTCTGCAGTGTTAACAGTCTCGCTCCAGGTGAGACTTTGCGTCCATTCTGCTAACACCTTGTAGGAATCCAGCCTGTAGGTGGTTTATCTTCTTCTTAGAGGTGATAAGCCTGCCACTCTGCTGGGTCATCCTGTGGCTACAAGGGTGTGTGGTTACAGAGTCTGTGCCTCCCCCTTCTCTGGCTTGGCGGGAGCCGAGATGCCCTGTCACAGAGAAGTGGACCCAGGGCTGGGACTTGTGCACTCGGCCCAGCTTTGTGCTTGGGGATTGTCTGGGCTAGCTGAAGGGCCCTGACACAAGAGAGCTCAGAATTGCATCACTCGTGATGAACTGTTGGAGCATGTGGCCAGGATTGTCCCTTAATCTGTCATAAATCAGAAGTTAGAGTGCAGGGAAGACCTTTCACCCACTCTGCTGATCCCGTCTACTTAATAACTGACTGCTGCCCTGCTTTCTGTTTGGCAAAGGACTTGCCGCATGATGTGTGCTGTCCCTCCTGCACACGGCAGAGATCCTGTTCTCTGCCAAAAATGGGGGACCTTCCTTAAAACTTGAGGAAGAGTAACATTTGGGTGGAAAGGCCCTTCACTCATTGCAGCTGTCCTTAGGAGCGCTTACCCCGAGCTCTGCCATGATGCCCGTGGCGGTGGAGGACATCATGAGGTTGCTGTGCTCCATCTCCGAGGAGAGGAAGATGAAGGCGGCCGTCAAGCACTCCGGGAAGGGTGCCCTGGTCACCGGGGCCGTGGCCTTCGTTGGCGGCCTGGTGGGCGGTCCACCAGGACTAGCCGTTGGTAAGTGCAGATGCCCCACAGGGACGGTGCGGTTGTTGGGAAAAGGCCTTTGAGACCACAGAGACATCGTAAAAGCCTCTGTCCTGTGTGAGAAGTTTGTCGAGTTGAGGTCACGTCTGTGAAGTGAGCTTTGGGCACATAATCAGTCCTGTAAACAACACCAGCTTCTGTGTGAGTGTCTCAGAAGTGCAGGGCTCTCTCAAAAGGCATCTGTGTCATAAAGGCCTGGAGGACATCTTTCTCCCAGAATGTGTCCTAGAGCCAGAGGATTTCAGGGTGTCCCGGGTTTTGGACTGTCTGCCTCCCCCCATCACCGTTAGACATCCAGAGAGGAAGCTGAGATTTCCTGAGCACCTCCTGAGGGGTGATGCCGAAGAGCCACTGGACATGAATTCATTCACAGAGTGCTTCCCTAGTCTGAAAGCAAGCAGTCCAGCTCGGGGAAAGCAACAAGCTAGCTCCTAGAGTGGTCATCATCCCTGCCCCTTCTTTTACCACCTGCTTCTATTTGGGAACTTGTTTCTGGCAGTAAATGAAAGTTTGGCTGATCTTCCCATCCTTCTTTGTAGCTAGAATGAAGCTGCTTCCTTTGGATTAGGAGCAGAAAGAATTCCTGTGGTCTGAACTGTGGGCTGGGGGTGTTGTCAGAGAGCTGGCTGCTGTCCAGGCCTGACCTGTGGAGGGGCCAGATAAGGTCTTCCTCGAGGTATGTCAGATGGACCCTGCAAAACAGGGCTAGGTCTGCTGCCCTGGGCTCAGCAAGTATTTACTGAATGCCTCCTTTGTGCTGGTAGCTTGTGCTGGGGATACAGAGCCTGAGAAAGCTCACAGGCTGGTGGAAACCCTTTCTATGTGGCTTGTAGTCTTCACATGAATACAGGCCAGAGAGATGACTACTTTTCTTCCCAGCTCACGGGAAAGGCTTCCAGCTCTCCTCTTCCCTCCAATAGTAGCATTGACATTTGAGAACATTGTATCAAGCTGAGGCCACATTGAGGAGAAAAAAATCAGCTTGTGGGTGACCCTTGATCTTCCATCTATACATTTCCATTTCCAAAGGCAGTGAGTTAGTGAGTCCTGACTTCAGCTTCTTGCTATCCAGGAAGTATTCCCATGGGGGAGGAGACAAGGCCATTGCCATCTTCCTCAGTGGCATCCTTTATCTTACTCCCACCCCATCTGATGTGCTCAAAAAGGGCTAGTTGGGATCATTTATCACATAGCTGTGCCCAGATGCCATTTTGGGAGCACATATTTTATTCAGATTGAGCAAAAGCTGGTAGAGGACAAGCTGTCAGCAAAGGGAACCCCGGGGATTGGCTACTTGAAGCCCCTAGGTCATGGGCAGGAGCATCATTTTACCCAGAAAACAAAGGAATTTTCTCTTCTCCAAAGAGTTGGTAATTTCTTGGTCGATATTTCCTGGCGACTTTTTGCATTAAGTGCTACTCTAAATCAGATATTGATGTTCTCATAAAGGTTTAGTGCAGATGAGTGCAGCTCTTGTCAGCACTAAGCATTTCACTGGTGTCATGGGGAAAAGTTCACTGAAACTTGTAAGTGACTGACCCTCCCTCCCTGGAATGCTCCTTCCTTTCCGTGTGGGGGGAAGTCTGTCCAGGGCAGTGTTCAGCCTCCAAGACATAAGGCTGGCCGGTTTCCTGCATCTTAGGAGGTGTGTGCTACCAGGTGCTTCCACACTTGGTTTCCTAAAATGTTGCAAGATTTACTTACTGATGGCTGCGTCCAGCCTGAAAATGGGTTCTCTCTGGCTCAGGCTGCGTTCTTTTGGATAAACTCTTTTATTTTGGAATAATATTAGATTTACAGAGAAGTTGCAAAGACAATGCCGAGAATTTCCATGTATGTGTCATCCAGTTCCAGCTCCCCTAATGTTCACATCTTATATTACCACGGCACACTTGTCAAAACTAAGAAACCCAGCCTAACATAACTGTTAACTATTCTTCAGGCTATATGTGGATTTTATCAGTTTCCGCATCCAAGGTGTTTTTCTGCCCCAGGTCTAGCTCAAGACCACACACTTAATCCTCATGTCTCCTTAGTCTCTCCAGTTTTATTATTTTTTTTTTCCACTCTTAATTTTCCCCCATGTGGGCCATTACAGAGTATTGACTAGAGTTCCCTGTGTTATACAGTGAAGTCACTCATTCATGCCCGACTCTTTGCGACCCCATGGACCGTGCCCACCACCACCCCAGGCTCCTCCACCCATGGGATTTTCTAGGCAAGAGTACTGGAGTGCATGGCCATTTCCTTCTCCAGGGGATCTTCCCAACCCAGGGATTGAACCCAGGTCTCCTGCATTGTGGGCAGACGCTTTAGTGTCTGGGCCACCAGGGAATCCCAGTAAAGAACCGTGTTATACAGTAGTAGGTCCTTATTAGTTGTCTATTTTATGTAGCATAGGATGTCTATGTCAATCCCAGTCTTCCAGTTTATCCCTCTCTCTCCTCATCCTCTGGTAACCATAAGTTTCTTTTCTGTTTTTGTAGTAGAAAACCTCTATAACTCTATTTCTGTTTTGTAGATAAGTTCTTTTGTACATTTTTTTTTTTTAGATTCCACATATAAGCGATATCATATGATCTTTGTCTTTCTCCTTTTTTTTTTTTTGTCTTTCTCCTTCTGACTGACTTCACTCAGTATGACAATCCATGTTGCTGCAGATGGCATTGGTTTGTTCTTTCCTATGGCTGAGTAACATTCCATCCACTTGTACCACATCTTTATCCAGTCTTCTGTTGATGGGCATTTAGATTGCTTCCATGTCCTGGCTATTGTAAATAGTGCTGCAGTGCATGTGGGGGTGCACGTATCTTTTCAAATTATGGTTTTCTCCAGGTGTATACCCAGGAGTGGGATTGCTGGATCATACGGTAACTCTGTCTTTAGTTTTTTAAGGAACATCCATGCTATTCTCCATAGTGACTATTTGGCACAGTGGTAACTCACATCTCAGTGACACAAGAGGTGCGAGTTCAATCCCTGGGTTGGGAAGATGCCCTGGAGAAGGAAATGACAACCTGCTCTAGTATTCTTGCCTGGAAAATCCCATGAACAGAGGAACCTGGCAGGCTACAGTCCATGGGGTTGCAAAGACTCAGACATGACTGAGTAGAGCACATTGTGTACATTCCCACCAGTGTACATTCCCACCAACAGTGTAGGGGGGGTCCCCTTTTCTCCACATCCTCTCCAGCATTTATTGTTTGTAGGTGTTTTGATGATGGGCATTCTGACCAATGTGCAGTGATAGCTCTTTGTAGTTTTGATTTTGCATTTCTCTAATAATTTGTGATATTGAGCATTTTTTCATGTGCTTTTTAACCATCTGTGTATCTTCTTTGGATAAATGCCTAGTTGGATCTTCCATCCATTTTTTGTTTGGGTTGTTTGGGTTTTTTTTTTGTATAATGAGCTGCATGAGCTGTTGGTGTATATTGGAGACTAATCCCTTGTCGGTTGCTTTCTCCCATTCTGAGGGTGACCCTAGTCTTGTTTTCTGCTGCTTTGATACTGGTTGGGTATTTTGGAGAACTCTTCTCAGTTTGGGTGTGCCTGATGTCCTTCTCATGAGTAGACAGTGGATCTTTGGGAAGAATACCGTGGCGCCTCTCGTCACTCATTTCAGGGATGAATGATACTCACTGCACCTCCTTGAGATGCTCGGCTTGATCACCTGACTGGTGCAGGTCTGTCAGTCTTTTCCACTGCGCAGTTACTGTTTCCCTTTCCTACTCTTCTCTTTTGAAGAAAGTCACCAAGTCCAGCCAGCCTGCATTTTTTCAGTATCCGATCACCAATATTTAAAACTTGTAAGACTATTAAAAGATACAAACCTGGTATTCCATGTGGCAGCAGTTGGCTGGCATGGGGTAGCCACTTCTCCTTTAGACAAGTACCTAGCTCTCCAGGTCACCACAGTCCCACTCAGCCCACTTCACTCCTTTCAGTGACCTGCTTGGGCCCTGTACACACTTGAGCTTGAGACCCTTACCCTAGGACATCTTCCTGTAGCAGGCTGCACCTGACCTGCTTAAAGAGAACTTTCCATTGAACTTGGAACTCTTCTGGTCCCAAGATAGCATGCTTTGACTTTGATAATAATAAATTTACATATAAAAGTAATGTTTGTGCCCTTTTGGGGTAGCAGAAAAAGAAATAGTTGAATACATTAAATTTGTTGTTTATCATCATACAACTTTGGAAGGGTTGTATGAAAAACATTGCTTCAGGAGAAAATACCTTGTCATCTGTCGCCATCCCCAGGGTCCTTGAACCGGGGTGGTTCCACTAGAGATTTCAAAGCTCAGGGCCCAGGCACATGTTAGCCACCCAGCGGAGGAAGCTCAGCCTCATCAGAGATGGTTCTCCCTGAAAATGCATTTGCTTCTCAGCCCTCTCCTTTGAGATGAGAGAGGTTTTTATGGAAGCATGAAAACCTTCAGCCCATGAGGATTTTAGTTAGCATAGCTCTCAGAGGGCAAGATGCTTCATGTTGCACCGTGAGTGCAGAGTTTAGGAGAGGGCATGTGTGAGTGTCAATTATCTGAGCCAAATGGATCAAAGACCACGTAAACCTTTGCCCTCCGCCCTGCTGGTGGAGCAGACATGAAGCTGAGTCCGTCCTGACCCGTTCACGAATGTGCTCACTCGTCATGATGGTGGACGTGCGCTCAGCGAGAACCTGTGGACATCATTTATGAATAAGGCCGACTAATTGAGCCCTTCCTGTTTTCTAGGGGGGGCCGTCGGGGGTCTGTTAGGTGCATGGATGACGAGCGGACAGTTTAAGCCAGTTCCTCAGATCATAATGGAGCTACCGCCTGCCGAGCAGCAGAAGCTCTTTAACGAAGCCACGGCCATCATCAGGCACCTGGAGTGGACGGACGCCGTGCAGCTGACCATGCTGGTCATGGGCAGCGAGGCCCTGCAGAAGCAGCTGCTGGCGATGCTGGCCAACTACGTCACCAGGGAGCTGCGGGCAGAAGTGCAGTACGATGACTAGACCTCGGCCCTGGGAAGTGGGGTCCGTTTGGATGATTCCCCGGACTCATGGGAGGTGACCGGGGAGCTATGGGAAGCCCACATCATTAAAATATTACCTAAACTGTAGCAGCATCTCCTGCTGAAGAGGCTGCTGCTCTGCTAGATCATGTTGTGGAAATTATTGGAGAAGATGCTGTGCTTTATGGCTGTGTGCACCTGTGTGTCCTGACAGCCTTTGAGGGGGAAGCTGGTGAATAGCAAAGCTGTGCCTGCTGCCATGTGGTGGTGGTTTTTTGAGTCCACACTTGCTCACACAGGAGCCAGAAGAAGGTCAGCACGTTCAGTCTCTCATCTCATTGCAAGAAGATGACGCCTGTCCAGGCACCCATTGCAGGACCAGCCCCTCTCCCCCCACACCTTGAGACCTGGGGGGGCTGGCTCCTGTTGGAATCAAGTTTACCTCTTGATTATCCTTCCACCGCCCAGTGACTTCTGAGTGGCCTCAGGGGGGGGCAGTCTGCCTGCTGAGTGAAGCCAAGAATGCCAGTGGCACTCTGCCCCTCCCCCACTAGCTGCCAGACTAGGTTCTCACACTCCTGGGGGGGCTTGCTTTCCCCATCTGAACAGTCACGGTAGTTCTTGTGTTCAGCTTTTTAAATTAAATATTTTCAGTGAAAGTATTTCTCTTTCTGAAGTGGTACGATCATAAACTTACCTGGACACAGGAAACATCTCCATCCTAAATTTCCCTAATACTGTTTCTGCTTTGCTTTCAGAACCACAGCTTGACTGTCATCAAATCACAGTAAATGTTTTCTGAATAGTCCTTTTCTCCACCTATTTTGTGTAAAGCGTCTCTAAGATTCAAAGTCATGTACTTGGAACACAAAGGAAGAGAACGGATTTGTGGCTCTAAAGAGTGAATGAAAGCTCTGGATTCCTGGGCCCGACACCTGCCGCTCCAGGCTGCTGTGGTTCCCGGGGCTGCCAGCGTGTGCACACTTCCGGGCCTGCCCTGGCCACCACAGGGCGTCCCTTGGGTCTCTGCAGGGAGCTGGAAGGAAGCTTCACTGGCCTCCCGGGGGTACAGCGGAAGGCACTCGTGTGGAGCAGAGATAGCATCCTGCACCTTCTTTGGATAAAGGAAACTTCAGGGCAAATTTGAACCGGAGGTGATTAAGGAAGGATCAGGCTTTTATCTCAGAAAAGTTGCTCTTTATCTGGCCTTATCTAGTACTCATCAGGTACCCTTCACAGGTCAAATGACTGGGGTTGATGAGGCCACTTGGTCATTTTCCCTGCTCGGGTCGATGAGGGAGCAGGGCAGGGTCCTTTTAGATGATTCTCCTGACACATAGAAGGTGACTGGGGAGTTTGGGGGGATCCCACCCACTCATTACTTGTGTTGGGTCCTACTCTGCGAGGCTCCGGGGACACAGGTGGTCCCAGCTCAAAGGTCCTACACCAGTGTCCACTGGATCCCTCCCCTGACCTACCTGCCGTTACCCCTAGGAAAGCCACTCTGGGGAGATGGCCTGATTCCTGACCAGACAGGTGTCAGATGAAGCAGACCTTACAGAATGAAGTCACTGGCCTAGTCAGGTCCTGGGTGACTTGTGATGGACTCTGAGCCCAAGAGGAGTCCAGACCTTGGGTCTCATCTCTCCCAGGAGCTGAAAGCACTTTCCTTTCACGCTCTCCTCACTCACAGTAACTGTGGCTTAGTATTTCTTCATCTTCTTTGAAAATTTTTGACTTATTTATTTTTGAAACTTAGGAGACACCAGAAGGTATAAATGGAAAATGAAGGGGTTCTCCTGTGCTGGCTGCTGCTCCAGACCCTTTCCAGATGCACCATTGTACCAATTTCTTCTGTATTCCTGTTTTTAGCCAGTCTTTCGTTTATCAGTGTTTATTGCTGAAAACATAGAAAAATCCAGAAAAGTACAATGAAAAAACCATTAAACTATCATCACCCCAAAAAAACCCACTGTTAACACATTTGGCATACTTTGTGCAAACTTTTTAATGGTATGTATGTTTCTAACCTATTTGCATCTTTACTGTTTAGAACCTTTGAACACTTTTACCAATTAGCATTAAATAACACTTGTGATGTAATTTGAACTCCCTTGTGAACATGTGTAATGGCTTTATAATATTCCATTGCACTAAACCATATACCTGCTACAGTGTCTTTTATAGGTCTTTACTATTATAGTGGTAACATTTTTATGAACACTTTTGTGTTAATATTCTGTTCATATTTTAGATTATGATAGTCTGTAGGATAGATTCATCAGTGTGAAATTGTTGCATTTAAAAGTATGTAATGTTTTTTACAATGGGTGGATAGCATCACTGACTCAATGGACATGAATTTGAGCAAACTCCAGAATATAGTGAAGGACAGGGAAGCCTGGTATACTGCAGTCCATGGGGGTCTCAGAGAGCCAGACACAACTTAGTAACTGAACAACAGCAGCAATATTTTTAAGGCTCTTGTCATATTCAGTCAAAATTCTTTCAGAGAGGCAGTATCAATAATTTGTTCTTCCAACAGCAAGTTTTGGGGATGCTCATCTTATCACATCCTCACCAGGAAATAGAATGACAGCGTCTTAAATCTTTATTAATTTGATGGGTGATTACTGACATCTTGGTTTGATTCATTTATCTTTGGATTATGAGTGAGGTGGACAAGGTTGGGGTGAGCTCCTGGGGGCTACCTGCCCAGGTGGTGCTGAGAGCTCCAGGACCCTGGGGCCCAGGCCTAGCAGAGGGTGAGGGGGCCCCGGTGTGAGCAGACAGCCTGCGGGGGCAGCAGCTGGCCAGGCGGTGGCCAGGAAACAGCAGGAGAGTGCCAGCGGGGTAAGGAGGCAGCTGAGGAGGAAGCCTTGGTGGGGGACCCAGTAATTATAAAAAGAAACCATCTGCTCTGGGCTGGTTATTAACCTGCTCCGAGTGTTGCTGTGACAGTGCCGGGCAAGATTTTTCTCAGGCAGATGGTATATTTTTAGCTAGAATGAACTTTTTTTATTTATTTATTTTTATTTTTGAGATGTCTGGCTTGGAAGTAAACACTAGGGTGTGTTGCAATGCTGGAGGCGGGGAGCACTGGCGCGCAGGGTGTGGAGGAAGGGTCCTCTTCGCATTACTTATTGAGAGGCGCCATCTAGCGGGCAAGCGGGCACATCCTTTCTCCTCTTCCCTCAGCCGGGCCTACAGAGCCTTCTCTATGAGTCTCCAGCCAGGCCAGGATGTGGCTCCACAAGGATGCTGTTTTATGAGTTCCCCTTGGGACAGGGCTGCGGCCTTCCTGAGGTTTTAATAAGCCGTGAGCAGAACATCAACCATGTCTGCTGCAACCTTTTTGCATATAAACCAGAATGTCTCTCAATCCCAAACAATCAACATATGGCAATTAAGCAATGCCAGGATTCATCTAAACCACACAGGGAAAAGGCACTGTCTGATGTGTTTTCAGCTTGTTGGGAGGAGATAAATGACTTTATTAGCCGGAGGTGGCTTCTCGGACCATTAGGATAACAGCGGGTCAGGAGTCAAAGCTTGGGCCTGGCTCCCTGCATCGCAGGCTCAGGTACCACACATGCTGGCAAGTGGAGGAAGTTGAAAAGTGTTTTTCTAAACAGTTGAGGTGGTGGCTATTTCTTTAATTTTTGTGGGTTTTCAGGGGAGGACTTTACTCTCTCTCATTTGAATTAAACAAATACAAGGATAATATCTAGGAGATATCTATTACATGCCAATTAATTAGTATAAGTGAATGCAAATGATCAAACCCAGAATGGGCAGGACTGTGGGTAAACAATGTATATACCTACACACATACATACACTCCACCAGAGAAAATACACAGTGATACAGTCTTTGGGGAGAGTGATTTGAAGGAAAAAAGTCACAGGTATCATAAAACTGTATATACTTTCCAGCCCACAAATTTCACTTCAGGGAAAACATTACAATAAAATAATTCAAATGGCAAAAAGATAAATTCATAGCAGTGCTGTTTATGATAGCAGGAAAAAAGGAAAATAATCCCCATGTTGAACAACAGGGAAATATTTAAACTGTACATGGGCAATATGATGGAATTGTTCAGTCGCTAAATCACGTCTGGCTCTTTTCAACCACATGGACTATAGCGTGCCGGGCTCCTCTGTTCTTTACTATCTCCCAGAGTTTGCTCAAATTCATGTCCATTGAGTTGTTGATGCCATCCAACCTTCTCATGCTCTGTCATCCCTTTCTCCTGCCCTCAATCTTTCCCAGCATCAGGGTCTTTTCCAATGAGTTAGCTCTTTGCATCAGGTGGCCAAAGTATCGGAGCTTCAGCTTCTGCTTCAGTCCTTTCAGTGAATATTCAGGATTAATTTCCTTTAGGGTTGACTGATTTGACCTCCTTGAAGCTCAAGGGACTCTCAAGAGTCTTCTCCAGCACCACAGTTCAAAAGCACCAATTCTTAAGCACTCAGCTTTCTTTATGGTCCAACTCTCACATCCTACATGACTACTGGAAAAAACATAGCTTTGACTATAAGGACCTTTGTCAGCAAAGTGATGTCTTTGCTTTTTAATATGCTGTCTAGGTTTGTCATAACTTTCCTATCAAGGAGCAAGTGTCTTAATTTCATGGCTGGAGTCACTATCCACAGTGATTTTGGAGCCCCAAAAAATAAAGTCTCTCACTGTTTCCATGTTTTCCCCTTCTATTTGCCATGAAGTAAAGAGACTGAATGCCATGATCTTAATTTTTTAAATGTTGAGTTTTAAGCCAGTTTTTTTACTTTCCTCTTTCACCCTCATCAAGAGGCACTTTAGTTCCTCTTCACTTTTTGCCATTAGAGTGCTATCATCTGCATATTTGAGGTTGTTGATATTTCTCCAGGGCTTCCCTTGTGGCTCAGCTGGTAAAGAATCCACCTGCTATGAGGGAGACCTGGGTTCGATCCCTGGGTTGGGAAGATACCCTGGAGAAGGGAAAGGCTACCCACTCCAGTATTCTGGCCTGGAGAATTCCATGGACTGTATAGTCCATGGAGTCACAAAGAGTCAGACACAACTGAGTGACTTTCACTGTCACTTTCCTTTTTCTCCAGGCAATCTTGAGTCCAGCTTGTGATTCATCCAACCCAGTATTTTGCATGATGTATTCTGCATAGAAGTTAAATAAGCAAGGTGTCAATATACAGCCTTGATGTACTCCTTTCCTAATTTTGAACCAATCTGTTGTTCCATGTTCTAACTGTTGCTTCTTGAACTGCATACAGGTTTCCCAGGAGACAGGTAAGGCGGTATTCCCAACTCTTTAAGAATTTTCCATAGTTTTTTGTAATCCACACAGACAAAGGCTTTAGCATAGTCAATGAAGCAGAAGTAGATGTTTTTTTCTGGAATTCCCTTGCTTTCTCTATGATCCAATGGATGTTGGCAATTTAATCTCTGGTTCCTCTAACTTTTCTAAACCCAGCTTGTACATCTGGAAGTTCTTGGTTCATGTACTACTGAAGCCTAGCTTGAAGGAGTTTGTGCATTACCTTGCTAGCATGTGAAATGAGTGCAATTTTAATAAGTAGTAATTGGGGGTAGGTATATGAAAGTCAGTGGAATTTCTCCATATGCATTATTTGCCTTATGGCAACTTCATATGTCTGTTCGGGGGTTGGGGGGGAGAAAAAGATAAGCTGTACTAGTGCTGGCGATGAGCCCAGGCCTTCCAGCACCCCAAGGTTGCGGCTCACAGGAAGCAGCAGAAGTGCACGAGAATCTCAGAGTGTGGGCACCTTGTGCCCGGGGGGAGTCCAGTGTTTAAAATTACGAAACCAGACAAGAGCCAGCCTGGTGCCCAGCTCCCTGGGACTGTTCCTCCCAGGAACAGTTCAAGGCCACCTCACGAGCCCACTGTGGACCTGCCTCTTCAGAGGCAGCAGCGGGTTCCAGGGCACAACCCTGAAGGGTGGGCCGTGTGTCACTAGCCAAGGCAGGAGGGCCAGCCATGCTGGGAGCTGTTTAGACACAGGGTCTTTTCTCTAGGGTCTGTCCAGGAGAAATTTAATACAAGCCACAAACATAATCTTTTATTTTCTAGTAACCACATTTTTCAAAAGTAAGAAATAAATTTAGTAGTATACTTTAACCCAGTATAACTACATGTCGTCATTTCAAATGTAATCAATATAAAAAATTATTGAGACATTTTCCAATTTTTTATATTATCTCTTTGAAACTCAGTGTATATGTTACAACACATCTCGAGTCTGTGTTTTGAGATTAGTCAAAGACACATGTCAAGTCACGTGTGGGCCAGTGGGGACCTCATCAGGCGTTACCACTCAGTAAGATACACAATAGGAAACAAAAAGATGAAAGATTTTTCTTTTCCACTTGGGTTGCCAGTGATACACACATGTCACTGTAAGGGCCAGGAACCTGTTTCAGTCCTTTCTCTTTTCTGAAGTTCAGCATCTGAACTTGTTTGAGGTCCTCATTAGAGGTCAGGGTCAGGCTGGATGGTGCTATGGATGGAATTGTGTCTCCCCCAAATTCATATGTGGAAATCCTAACCCCCAAGTGATGGCATTTGGAAGTGGAGTATTTGCAAGGTAATTATAGTTAGATGAGGCCATGGTGGAGCAACCCCCATGATGGGATTAGTGCCCTTACAAGCAGAAATACCAGAGAGCTACTTCTGTCTCTGTCTCTCTCTTTGCCGTGTGAAGACTGAGAGGAGAGGGCCATCCAAAAGCCAAGAGCGCTCACCAGAACCCAGCCATGCCGGCACCGTGATCTTGGACTTCCAGCCTCCACAGCTGTGAGCGATACATGGGCATGATTAAGTGCCAGCCTGCAGCGCTTTGTTATGGCGCATGGAGCCGACTGGGACAGGTAAAGAGCAGGGAGGCTTCCTGGATCCCTGAATTCTAACCTGATTTAGGGGCAACAGCATTTTTCCCCTGCCTGGAGGTGACAAGTTGAGCAGTGTATGGGTGTAGACCCCTGTGGATGGAACTGAACATCCTTGGCCACTAAGAACCAGCCTTGACCTTCTGTCCCAGGCCCAGGTGGCCCTCAGATGCCTTGGAGGACGGCACCCCTGAATC